AGATGTTAGTTAACATTATATTGTACCTTGTTGGTGACAAATTCTGATGTTGGTGCAAAATCTTCACTCATGTTTGCTATCTACAACTTCGATCTAGAAGAACGAAAGAGAGATATTTGAACTATGTATAGAGGGAGAGGGAGAGAGCGAAAAAATGTGAAGAATGTGAAATACGATATATGAATGATCGTTCGTTCGATATATTTATCGAATTGGTTTTACTTTATTTCAAATCGATAATTTTACTTTATTTCAAATCAATAACTTTACTTTATTTCAAATCAAATTATTAAACGAATAATATATATATATATATATATATATATATTATATCAAATTTCGTAACGTAAGATATTAAAATATAAGGTAAAATATGATTTAATCCCTAAACTTTACGTTTAAAATAGTTTAATTAAAAGCTTAGTAACCTGCTATAGCAGGTCAAGTGGCTTAAATAATTAATTCCAACAAGTTTAGGGATTAAAACATTCATTAATTTTTTTTAAGGATTATAACATTCATTAAAGAAGGTTAGGGATTATAACATTCATTAAAAAAGTTTAGGGGTTAAACCATTTTTAAACGTAAATTTTTACCCTTTAATATAATAATGTATGTTTTTCAATACATTTTAGTTAATATATGATTATTATGTTAATGTAATAAATGTGTAAAACAAAAATTGAAAAATCAAGGGATATATTATATATTAAATAATTTACTATAAGGGTATAAATTGAAAATATTAATTTTTTTTACGTAGTATGTATGATATATAATAAGATAAATAAATCAAAAAATATTCAATATTGGACTCATTCTAAAGGTATTTACGAGACAATTATAATGATGTAACTTATTAAAATTAAAACGTTTTTTTTAACGTATTTTAGTTAGTATACGATTATATGTATTAATATGATAATAATATAAAATGAAAAATATAAAACTAAAAGGTATAAAGTAAATAATCATATAAGTATAAGGGTTTAAATTGTAAATATATATATTTATATTATTTAAATTGTCGATATGAGTTGTAGTGTTTAATAGGGAGGGTCAAAAGGTAAGCTAAAGAGGTCGAAAAAGCATGACCCAAAGAATTAGGTGCATGTGAGGGGTTGAGAATGTGAGGGTCTGAGTGAGGGAAAGATGTGAGGAGGAGGGGGTGAGAAGTGACGTAAGTGGGTGGGGCATATCAACCCCCAATAATTATTATTCAGAAGACCGAAGAGGCGTCAATGAAGTCTATTATTTTAAGGGTCTTAGTTTAAAAAAAATATATCTATACTATATTATAAAATATTTGATAAAAACTCTTAAAAACCATATTTTATGAATGAATTACTGTTTATTAATGCATATTACTTAAAATATAAAATTACAAGTAAATTGTGCGTAAATACAACTTATTAAAGCTCCATTTTTAAATTCGTATAACTAACTGCAGATAAACGTTATTTGATAAACATCTAATTTTAAATATAAAAAATCTAAAATATACTTAGGATAATCATTGAGTTCTAACAGAATAATTATCTTTATAAAAATTATATTGTTAAGTAAAAAATAAATTACTTTCTTATTAGACATATATTAAATTATAATAAAAAATTTAATTAAAGAAACTGTACAAAAAAGAGAGCTTTTAAATAGTTAATTTGACATTATATCGATAACTTTTTCAAAATTTTATGATATATTCATATTAACTAGGTTCGATCCCGTGTATTACACGGGATTATTTGAAAAAATTAAATCGTGTCAGGAACTTATCATGCAAATATGAATGATCATCGAAAGTACGATACTACTTTAGACTTGTACTATTGAAATGATTCTGAAGAATAACTCTGAAGAATTACTCTTCAGACTTGAATTTAGAAATGAAACTATATCAATAATTAGTTAAAATAAAGTTAACCCTAGAATAAAATTAAATTTATGAATGAAACTAAATCAGTAAATTGAATTTAAACTTAGCAGTAAATTTAGAACGACTCTTCAGACTTGTACTGTTGAAATAACTTTTAAGTTTAACTTTGAAGAAGGATTTCAGACTTGGACTTGTACTCTTGAAATTAACTCTGAAGTAAAACTCTTCAGATTTCAGAGCTCTGTATAATCAAGAAAAGTCAACTTTTGTCGACGTCCGCCACAAATCCCACACAAATCCATCACTGAATTTAAAAATAAAATAAAATTTTATTTCTACAACTTTCTCGACGGTTTGTAACGGATTTTTTACTTATTTAATACTGTCACAAATCCGTCTGGAAATCCGTCACAAAATTAGTCTACTTATTTAAATAAATTAATTAGCGTTAATTAATTAAAATTCACGACGGATTTTAATTGAATTTTATATTTAATTATACTCCGTCGGAAATGTTTAAGAAAACTTTTTTAATTTCTTTTCTCTTCCAAAAAATATGTTTAAAAAAATCCGACGGATTGTAATTTTCTAATAAAAAGTTATATTTCGTCGGAATTTATTTGAAAATATATATGTTTTATAAAAAAATATAAAAAACTTTTTTTAATAAATTTAGACGGAATATAATTTTTTATTATAAAAATTATTATTCGTTGGAAATTTTGAACTTCTTTTAAATATATATTTTTGGAAGGAAAAAAATATAAATAAATTTTTTTTGAACATTACCAACAGATTTCGGACATAATTTGCATTTAACGGCGGGGGTTTTCCGACAGCAATATCCGTTGGATAGTTGTTTTTCCTACAGATTTTGCCGTCGAAAAAACCACATTTTTTAGTAGTGATCAATCAAATGAGTATAATTGAACTGTTAATGTAAATTGTGTCTAGATACGTTCAAATGGGTCTAATTGAACCACTAATGTAAATTGTGTCTAGATACGTGTTTAGGCGAGAAAACAAGAAAACCGTCTCATCAGAAGATGACACGTGTCACCTAAGTTATTAATTTATTGTAAGTATAGATTTTTATTCAAAAGTAAAAACATTGTCTTTCTCAAAACCACATAAACTGTATTATATCAATAGAGACAAAAAAAAAATAAAACAAAATATTAAAATGAAGATATATTTCGTTGCATTGTACGAGTATCATTCTAGTTTTATATGTGAGAAAAGAGTAAACTACAAATTTGTGTCAATGTGGTTTGTGAAAAAGGGATACTAATTGTTTCTATATATTCTTAAATGTTTTTCTATTAAATGGTTTTTTTTTTCACATACATTAATATGAAAATTTTATTTTTACATTTTTAATATACGACTGACCTAATCATGATATTAAAGTGATGCAAAAAACATTGGCCGTGTGAAAATGGCACTTTTTGGTATTTGTAGTTTTAAAATTATAAGATGGTCATTATGATCTGTAAAAATATCCGGATTGATCTCTCTTTAATGGCCGTCAAATGAAAGAGATTTTTGTCATTTTATCGATTTTTTGTTTTTTTGTCAATTAAAAACCACATGAACCAAAATTATAAAATCGATTTTGATTCGGTAATGCAGAAAAAAATCGATAAAATGATGAAAAATTTAGTGACTGTTTTCACTTGCTTGAGTAAGGTTTGGTAAACGTCCCCTAATATGATGGTGTATTTTTTGCTCACTCAACAACTGTGGTTAACAGGAGACGTGATATTAAACCTTGGACCTATCTTATATTTGTGGAAAATCAGTTTACTCTTTTATCAACTGAATTACATACCAAAGATTTTATTCTCCAAACATTATTTTTGATAAAATATAATTGACTTGTTCTGATTTTTGGTATTCGTCTTATCTTATGTTATATGTCACTGATTTTGTTAATTTGCTTTACTAAAAAACATTTTAAATTGTCCAACAATAACTTATATGTTGGAATTATTCTGATTAAATAATACGGTGTTTAATTTAAATAAAAGGCATAACAAAGCTTGTTTTATTTTAGTATATTTTACTCTTGTTAAAGTTATTACTATTACGATTGTTAACTAGTTATTTTGTAATTGATTTTGTTAAGATAAATATAAACTTATATTAGTTTTAAACGTGAAAGTTGTTTACAGCTATTCGAAAACGTAATGAATGATGATATATGGTTTGTCATAAAGTGTAATAAGATTATAATATTAATAACTAAATATTTAAAGTATTTTTTAATATTCATAATTTGTTGACCAAAGTCTTCGTTTCCATTATTATGATCTTAATATGTAAGGAATTTGGTTGAACTATGATTTTTCGCTGCTAGAAATGAGCTCTGATCTTTGTTTCTTCATCGTTTTTAATGTTGCGTTTTAGCCTTTGTGTTCAGTTTTAGCCTCCTCGTTGGTTGTTGTTCTGATTAGTTTTTGTTCCCACTTAATTATGGTCCCTTTGGTTTACATGATTGGTTTTGATGGATTTGGATTTCATGGAGGGATTTGGATTGGAATGGATTTGAAATCATTAGTGTGTTTGATTTGTAGGATTTGGAAAGAAATTGAATTCCATTATTCATAAATAATTTATACAAAAATTATAAATGATTACAAAATAATTAAATTATATTTTTATTAATTCGATTATTATAAAATAAAATGTTTTCAATATTTTCTAAAACTTTATTTCATACAATCCTACGAAATCTAATGAGATCCCAAGCATCATTTCAAAATCATATGTTTGTAGGATTTTAATTAAATCACAGGATTTCAAATCTGGACAATGCAACAAACTAAACATGAGATTGAAATTAATTTAAAACCCAAATCATTTAAAATCCATTACATTTCTAATGTTCCGATAGTTTTATTGTGCTTCTTGCAGAATTTATTCTCATCTTCTCTTATACTTATGTGTGTTTGGATGATTAATCTAGTTTCTTGCTTTAGGAAGTTTCTTTTCTTCTAATACAATTAAAAGAAAATAAGCGATGCATCTCCTAAATTGTAATCAAGAAAATAAAAGTTAATCGTTAAAAAATAAAAATAATCATCATATTTTACATTGATTGTAAGTTCATATCTCAACATACATGACAAATTTAGGATCTCTAGAGTTACGGAAAACTTCACATAATGGTACAAGCAGGATTTGGTTGTTCGTAAATAGTCATCATACAACCCATGCCCATTTGTTGACAAATAATACAATCGTATCTCATGTGGTTATCGTAAGGATGCATGTGAACTTTTTCCTCAGGTTTTTTTTCTGTTTGTTTCTTCTCTTCGGGTTTCTTTTCCTCTGGTTTCTTTGGAGGAGCGGGTGGAGGTCCTATTGTCACCACTTCCACGAATTTTCCTGCCTTTTTTGTTTGTAAAATTATCTCGTAAGGATCTGCATCTCCTGTTACAGTTACTGTTCCTTTGGCTCCATCAATTTCTATTTTATCTACACCTACAATCAACCAAAATTACACAAGGTATGAAAGTATTATATTCCACTTGTTAAAAATTAAGATAACAAACGATAAATGGAATGAAACAAGCAAATTGCATAAGGTTTAGTAGCAAATACATATAATTTATATACCTTGTACCTTCTTAGGTTCTCTAAAGTTATCATTTATTAATTAATTAAACCGTATACTGTTTGTGTGACTGTTTGAGCCATTGATTATTAAACAATTATTTGAACAAGGTTTTGTAAGAATGGAAATTTTAAATAAAAAAATTGCATATAACTTATTCTTTTACAACTTGTTCAAAATCATGTTACAAAAACACCAAATAAATCATTCACTTCAAAGAACTTCTGAAATGGGATGTACCTTGAAGACCAGAAACTGATCTCAGGATCTTCTTCTTGCATTTCTCGCATGATAATTGCACCTTCAATACCGTCTTTTGCACCATTTACCCTTCAACTCTCTCTCTCTCTCTCTCTCTCTCTCTCTCTATATATATATATATATATATAGTCGGCATGGACAAAGGTCGCATTGGGTTGTTCACCATCCCTTGTCACTATTTCAAAACCCAACTACATTAATTGGTGATAATCTTGTTTTATATTCGGTTCATGAAATCATTTTTGATTTGTTTCGTTTATATATTTATTATAACAGTTTGTTAATATGTTAATCAAACGATACATAAATATACATGAGAATCAAATTCAAGATCTGTATATAAATGTAATACAAATTTCAGCTATTTATAAACAACTCCCATTTGACTTTGTCTATGTCATATCATGCTATAGTTCTTTGTTTTCATGGATTTGCAGCTTTGGTTTCTCAAGAAAAATATATATTATTAATTAATAAATAAAAGCCTCCTAGCTTATTTATTTGATAAATAACTCATATCTTAACACACATACACATATACGTGTGTAGATTTAGGATCATGTGACTTGACATATTTTTGTGAGACCCATGAGACCATCTAAATAACATTGAACTTTCATAAAAATGAACTTTTATAGTGTTTCCGCTGTGAAAGTTCAATGTTTGTTGTAGTTTAATGATGTTTTGATGTGAATATTCAGTGTTATTTTGTGGTCTCATACAAACAAACTGGCCTCACAAAAAAACATGTATTATATATATGTATGTATATATATAATATAAATAGATAGATAGATAGGTTGGGCTCCGATAAGAATGGAAGTTGTGGTGAGAAACGTAAGAAAATATTTCCATCATTGAATCAATCTTAAATGAATGTCAACACTAATTAGGTGTAACGAGATGCACCGGATCGATTCCTTTCTAAAGATCAATTCATGGATGAACATAAAATTAAAAGTGATCAAGGGTTCAGACCTCTTCTTACATTTCTCATCATAATTTTTCTTCTCATACGATCCATTCATCTATAGCGGTATGTTGAGTTCTAGTGAGAATGAAAGTTATGATGAGAAAGATAAAAAATGATCTCCACATTTGGATCAATCCTAATTGAATATCAAAACTGATGAGGTGCACCGAGATTCACCTGATCAATTCCCGTATCAAGTAATATGAAATTTTGGTCTTAATTTGTTGGGCCCATATGTGATAAATAATGTATAAGGACTGGGCTCAAATAAGTTGTAACGGCCCAAGATATGCACAAATTTTATGGAAATTTCAACCTTGGACTAAAATGAAATATAAAGTCAAAGTAGAGGATCAATTATGTTCTGTGTTAAACATACAACGTTACAGCCACAGGGATCAAATCATGGGCGGACCTACCATGGTGGTTATGGTGGCACGTGCCACCGTATTATTTCTCCGTCGAATGGTAAAAAATTTAGGTTCGTGAAAGATGCAACCGTATTAATCTGTTGCGTGTCACCGTATGTATTTTGAAACTACAATGAGAACAAATTTTATTTGATAGAGTTGGTTTGCAAGGCTTTTGTTCCACTCCAGACCCAAATTCAAATCTTGTTAGTGTCATTTTCTTAGTCAAATAGTGCCACCGATTGAAAAAAATTTCTGTATATTTGTTTCTTATAGTCAACCGGTGCCACTGTTTGAAAATTTTTCCCTATAATTTTTTCTTATAGTCAAATGGTGCCACCGTTTGAAAAAAATTCTGGGTCCGTCCCTGGATCAAATATCAAAAATGGAGAACTGAAGGGACTTGTTTTGTCTAATTTACAAAAGAAAATCGGTACTTAAATGGAGAATTGCCGGTCGACACTGTCGAGGAGTGTAGAACACGAGTGGTCCCAAAACTCAAATCGAACCCGAACCGAAATGAGGTGTTTGTATAAAATCCGAATGTCTTGAATTCCTAAAATCCGAACACAGCTATTGAAGAAATATTTGGTTTTAGGTTAGGTATGGTTTCTGGTCACCCGCCTCATCCGAAAACTCGAAACATACATATGTATAGTTTAAAATATTTTATAAATATATTTATTTATCTAATTATCTTTAAAAAAATTAAATCTTAATTGTCCGTACTCTTTTCAAATTTGTAAATCTACCATCATTTCATCATTCTATCAATCGATTGAATAAATTTTCAAAATCGATTTGAAGTACATATGTTTTTTTTATGCATATAACTATACCCAAACCCGACCAACCCGAACCTGAAGCAATCTGAAATCTAAAATCCAAAATCGGAGATTGGTTTTCATATACAAAATTCGATTGGATTTTTGGTTTGTCCATCTAAACGCCACCTGATGTACACCCCTACTTGACACAGTCGATTTGAGGGGTAAAATCTGTGCATACTTTGCACTTGTAACGCACAAGTATGAAAGGTTGTAACTTGAGAATAATATAGTCAAAAATTTATGAAAAGGTTTATAACATATGCTTTAAGATGATTTCATCTCTAACTAAAATATATTTAAAAATTAATCCAAAATGATATTTTATCCACACGGGTGTCAACTTCGTCAAACCCAACTTGTACTATTAAAGTAATTAAAATATGCAAATCAATAAGTGTAGAAATTGAAACACCATAATATTACAAGCTTCAAATTCAGTTATAGTTTTTTTTAACACATGTCATGTTGTTGGAAAAATTATTTAAAAAAAGTATAAATATTTTTATTTGTTAAATTATAAAAAATGATGATATTTTATTAATTTATATAAGGAAAAAGTCTAAAAAAATCCAATGAACTTTAGTGTTTGGAATAATTAAATTTTTAGACATTTTTTTGGATCAAATAAGTTCTTGAACATTCCAAAATTTGTTAAATAACTTCTTAAACTTTCTAAAACCTGTTAGATACATTCTAATGACCTATACAACTGGTTAATGTGCTAAAATAATGGAAAAAGTCTGAAAAAAGCTAACGGACTTTTATAATTTGAACGATTAAGTTCTAAACATTTTTTAAACCAAAAAAGTATTTACATCTATAAAATAAAATAAAATAAATATACCAAAAAAAAATACTTACATTTATAAAAAGATACTTACATTTAAAAAATATTATTCATAAAATCTATTTTAATTA